TTAGGAGTCATCCTTGTGGATTTCTGGGAATTCCCTTATGCCAGGTTTCTCATTAACCCCAAAATGGCTCCCTCTATTAAGATATCTCTTTCCTTATTCTCCCTGTCCTTTTCCCAACTCAACCTCCCCTTCTCCTCTCCCTCCTCCCAGGGAAGGTTCTTATTTTCACTCTCATAGTCAGTGGAGGAATTAAGGTTATCCTTGTTTCAAGGGACATGGCTAATGTGGGTGTTCTCTTTATCTTTCCTTGCCTTACTATGATCATCAATGGTGTATTTTGGAATTAGAGGGAAAGTTGTTTCTTTTGGTGTGAAAGACGGACATTACATTAAACTTTAAGTGACGGTATCAGCTGTGGATCATTTTATAAGTAATGAAAGGAAAAAAAATGAGGAACATTCCGTGCAAAATCATCTAACAAATGCTAACTTTAAGGATTTAAACCATTTAGCACACAGCAGTAGTATTTATACTTTGGGGTATATATGATTGTAATTTTAATTGAAAATGTGTATGAAATATTATTCAACAGTCATTAATAGATGTTATTGCAATTTCTATATTTCCGTTATAAAATGGCATGCCTTTATTGTACAAAATTTAGCAAAAATAAAAATGCTTATAGATGCCCTCAAAATTGAGTATATTGAATATTTTGGTGTGTTTTCTTTCTTATTTTTTCCCTAATAGATACTAAGTTTTATTTTCCTATGTTCCTTCTAAAGCACTTATGTTAGTATGTATCTTGAATTGAGATCTGGAAAGCATAACTACATAAGCAATGGGCAAGGAGCCATCTCAATATTTGCTAACACTTGTCATTGTGGTTTTCACAATGTTCACTTTTTGACTCCTGTTAACCATCTATGGAATTACTGGATTTTTACTAGCCCCTTGTCGGTATTTAATCAATAAAAACTCACTTTAGATCTCATGAACAATGTTACACACTTCAACTTTATGCCACATATAGTAAACTTTGTGAGGTAGAAACTATCATACAATTTTACCAATAAATGTGGTGGTAGTGGCACTCACCTTTAATCCCAGCACTTAAGAGACAGAGGCAGGCAGATCTCTGTGAGTTCAAGGCCATCCTGGACCACAGAGCGAGTATTAGCACAGGCCCCAAAGTTACAGAGAAACCCTGTCTCGAAAAACAAAAACAAAACAAAACAAAAATATGGAATTATGATCATGAATTACAAGATAAGTTAGTAACATGTTTTAAGCACTGTTTGATACACAGATTGAATTGTCTGTATATTTTAATGTATTTTAAATGCTCAAAAGTGAGTAATGTCTCCTTAAAAAATATTTCCATTTAAAAGTTTTAATTAAAAATATTTAAAATGTCTTTTCTTTCATATTTTTATTTAAAAGTTTACTTTTACATACCAACTCCAGTTCCTCCTCTGTTGCCTTCTCCTGCCCACCCCACCATTCCCACTTCCCATCCCCCATCCACTTCTCCGAGGGTATACAGCTTTCCTTAGGGAGTCAACAAAGTCTGACAAACCAAATTGAGGCAGAAGCAAGCACTCCCTTCTCCATATCAAGATTGAGCAAGGTATCCTACCATTTTGAATGGACTCCAAAAAGCCAGTTCGTAAGCCTGGGAAAGGTTCTGGTGCCATTGTCATCTCATCTGCCCAACAAATCAGGCCACATTAACTGCTACCAACATTAGGAGGGTCTAGATTGGTCCCATGCAGGTTCCCCAGCTGTCAGTCTATAATTTTACAGATGTTTAAAAGATAATGCTAAAGAACTCAAGAGATGTCTTTGTTGGTACAATGCTTGCTGAGAAAAACCTGAGAACTCCCATATTGGTGAGGAATAAGTAGGGAGAGAGTATGCAGTGAAGAAGCACGTTTAGGAAGGAGGCTGGCAGCTCAGTGTTGGACTAAGAAAACCAGCCTGATGGTGTGCAGCTGATGCTATTCACATTACAGTCAAATCAGAGGTAGAAACTCCTTTTGGCTGGAGTTGAAAATGGCCAAATTATAGCAAAAATGGTACAGACAGAGCACCAAAAGTGTGGTGTTACATTTATGAACCCGGTAATGAATTCTTGGGGGTGGGGCAGAAACTGGGAACTTTGGAACTTGTCCAGATACTGAGTGGGATGGGTATAAACTTTCAAGGACTTTAATATTCTCACAACTCCGTTACGGCTTTGCCTTCGCATTCAACTGTGAACATGTAGGATTGAGATACAGCTGATGATGGTGATCATAGAAGTGCACAGCCTTTTTATTCCTTTCTCTTTTTTCTTTATTAAGGAGTTTGACTTATACTGGGGTTTATAAGGCAATTTAGTTTAATTGTTCCATTTGTAGAGGGCACATAGGCTGATTATTAATAGGCTCATACTCAACCTCCAGCCTTGTAAATTCTGTGCCTTTTGTAAAATTGCTTAATAGTTCTCTTTCTCAATTTCCTCATCTTTGAATTGACTTCCTTCATGCACAAAGAAGATTCAATGAATGAGTCAGAGTTTTTTTTTAGAACAATGACACCCAAGGACACATATAGTTATCAGTTCTTAAAAATAAAAATACCAAGAACTGTGAAACCAGAAAAATTTAAGTTAGATTGGTTTTTTATTATTTTAAGGACACTAGAAAATAAGATTTGTGTTTTATTGTCACTCCCATAATTGAGATGAGGTATAGTTCCTAAGAGCTCACTGTGTGAGTGCTGGGGAAGCTGTGAGGGAGGCTATGGACTCTTCCTGAGATCTAATGGCTAGAATGTGAGATCAATTTAAAACAAGTGATATCAGAACACAGGTTTTTACAGAATAGTTGCCAGTCTATAAAATTTTCTGTGTGATTCCATAGAAGTTAAGAAATTCTTCTCTGCTTTTAGTTTTCATTTGTTTGATTGTTTTTGAGACGGTTTCACTGTGTAGCTGTGGCTATCCTGTAACTCACTATGTAGAGCAGTCTGCCCTTAAACTCACAGAGATACACCTGCTTCTGCTTCCTGAGTGCTGGGATTAAATGGAATGCATCACCACACCTGGCTTATTTATACTCTTTTTCATGCTACCAGCTTGCAAAGAAGAGCATACAAAACGCACCTAACTCTAGAGACAGGTCTGCAGTGGACAGATGCTGTGTTGAAAAAACTGAATGTGTGGTTGTAATTATTTTAACTAATGCAAATTTCAGAATTGTGGGATTTTGGTAGGAGTTGGGGAAGGGGAACCATGATTAGAATACATTATATGAAAAGATTTATTAAAAATGAAAACTAATACTCAAACAACTGTTTATCTTAATTTTCAACCTTACTGGATTGACTTATCTAGGAATCTGATGTGAAGAGCATGGCTCTGGTTGTATCTGTGAGAGAATTTCTAGAAAGGATTAACAGCAATGGAAGACAACTTCGAGTGTAGGCAGTATTATTCCATGTGATGGAACTCTAACTGAATAAAATGATGAAAAAGACAAGAGAGGGGTTGCAGAGGAGAGGGGAGGAGAGAGAGAGAGAGAGAGAGAGAGAGAGAGAGAGAGAGAGAGAAATATGGGATTTAGAAATAGAAATTATTTATTATGTAAGAGGGCATATACATAGTACTACTCTAATAATCACTTATCTATCTCTTTTAACAATCCTAGCCTTTCTCCTGACAGCTTGTCACACTCATGTTATGATACCTCAGTGTTGGCTCACTTTCCAGAATGTTATTTATGTCTAATTCATTTTCCCATCTATGAAGGCAAAGTGCTCATTGCAGCTGTATTCATAGAAATAGTCATTGGAATTTTTTTTTCATTTCTCAAAAGCTAATCAAAAAGAAAAAAAAGCTAATCAAAAGCCTAGCATTTCTGTTTGGGTACAAATTTGCCTGTTTAGCCTGTGTGCTGTTCTGTTTTTCTGTTGGCTAGTCTGTAGTTACTAAAGACTATGTGTTGGATTGTTTACTAGCATCCTGTAATTTGGACAGCACGATCAAATTTGCATAACCCATTCAGCTGTTGTGGAGAGAAGCCTGTTGCCATAGTGAGAATTATGATGTCCTATATCAGATAAATTCCCAAAATGAGAGTGACCTTTGAAAAGCCACAAGCAAATATTTATTATCTTAGATATAGCTAGCTTCTCAGGAAACAATGAATCTCCTTTCTCAGTCATTAAATGGGAAATCTATAATACAGGGTTTCCCCTTTTTACTACAGCAAACTCCCGCCTCTCTTTGCTTCCATGCCTAAAGTGCAAGACCCAGGAGCGGTTGACTGTCCTTTCCAGCTGTATAATGGAGAGCTTGCTTGTTTCCTTTACAACTTAACCAGGCTGTTGTCCTACAGTTGATCCCTAGGTGATTAGTAATTCTTTTGTTCTGTTTTGGTACTGAGTGCTGCACAGGTAAAGCCCCCACTGCAGCTCTGAGTCGAGTCTACCCCTCCTGTATTTTTTGAACCTTAGGATCCTAAGTTCAGAAGAGGAATGTCAGAATCTCATGTGTATCATATATAACCACCACATATCCTTCTATGCAAACTTGGGGATGGGGATACAAACTGGGAATTTTATTAAGGATCTATATCACATTTTAACACACATTTTAAAATACAGATTTCTCAATCTGTCAATTGAAAAATAAATGAAAACTTTACTTAAAACCTTTAATGAAGTTTCTGTGTCAAAACTCTTGAACTACCGCTCAGAAATAGTTTATAACAATTACAGTCTAAAATCATAATTAAACTAGTGATTTAATTAGATTAACAGTCTAATGAATAATATAAACACACAAGCTAGTTTCATAAAATAGCCTTTTTTCCTGAAGCTAATTATGATAACTCCTTTAATTGTGGTGGTTTATGTGGTCTGAATATCATGACACAGATAAGTCTGAGACATATCAATGTACAAACTCTACAAAATATCTTCTTCTGAAAAAGAAATATTTTTAAAAATAGAAGAGAAAAACTACATTTCCTTGCAGCATTGTGAAATTGATGAACCCTGTGTTTGCCTTTCAGATCCCCAGCTCAAGGGCATAGTGACCAGGTTATATTGCAGGCAAGGCTACTACTTGCAGATGCACCCCGATGGAGCTCTCGATGGGACCAAGGATGACAGCACCAATTCCAGTAAGTGACTCACTGAGTCTGCTGCTCAGTGGCTTTGTGAGATACATTTGTAAATGCTTGGTTCTCTTAGCTTCTTTCTAGTTGCCTAGAAATGCATGTATCATTTTACTGATACCACATGCATGAAGGTACTGATGCAGAAGGAGGCAACTCTAGGGTTAAACTGAGTGTATCTTCTTTACAGATATGTCCAGAACATTACTTTTCATCTCCTAATCATAACAGTTAGGCACACTAATGCACTGGTATAAAAGTTAATATCCTTCTCAAAGAGAGAATATTCAGATATGCTATGATCTGGGGAAGAGGAATTTGTAATTATTGCAAAAGAGCATGTAGCTTTCTCCATCCTGTACAGCATGTCCCTGAGAAGAAAGCCAGGCCCACACTTGCTGCCGTCTTAGCTTGCAGTTATGTACAGAGTAGCCTTAGAATAAATCACATTGCCACAAGTTTCAAGAGACATGCATTTTGTAAAAGAGTTAAAGGCCTAAAGTTAAGACATTTTACCTACACATTTAGGTAGCTGGAGACTTTTCTCTGTCCTGACCGGTTTCTCTCCTGCCCACTGGTCCCCACAGCCTCTTATGAAATAATCATTTGTAGGCTTAATATTAATCATAACTGTTTGGAGAATGACTCAGACTTTTACTGGCTAGCTCTACACATGAATTAACTCATTTCTAATTATATGCGTGTCACCATGTTCCCGGTGGCTTACCAGTAATGTTCTGGCATCTTACTTCTTTAGTGGATGCTGGCATCTCTCCAGCTCTGCCTTATTTCTCCTTGTCTCTCTGTTTGGATTTTCCACCTAGCTATATATATGCCATAGGCCAAACCAGCTTTTTCTATTAACCAATGATAATAAAACATATTCACAGCCTACAGAGGGACATCCCACATCACATTTATATCAAAAGCTGAGTACTTCCCAGGCAGATTCCCATTAATAAGAAATAAACTCAAGTTAAGGAGTTGGATGAGAGTGATAATAGCTTTCTTGTTAGTACCACTTGTACTAAAAATATTTGTGAAATATCCACTGAAAATTCTATGTGTAGCAAGATATTATGGTTGATAATATCCAAGATGATGTTGGTGAGTACACTTTGTGAAAATATACTATACTAGAAGGGAAGAAAAAGTAGAAATATAAATGGATTTTAACTTACTAAATTTATAGAACTAAGCATGGTTCACTTTTATTTTTATTTATAACTTTATAAAAATTAATAAATAATATACTTTCTTAAAAATTTGCATAGAATTTGATTTTATTAGTATCTTCTAAGTTTATCCCATGGGAGACTACACATCATTCTTGTTTTTTTTTTTCTGGCATTTCCTGTTGCTCCTGCCAAAGTAATTTAATCTGAGAATTGCTTTTGAACTTCTGTCTTACACTGCACTGCAAGTGCCCAGTCACACAGGACAGAAAATGACAGTCAGCTTTCAAGTTGCACTTTTAAAATTCTGTTCCTTGAGAATACCCATAGGTGATTTTTTTCCTGAATCTAGTAGTGTCAGACTTTGATAGTAGAAGCATAAACTGCAGGCTTGATTCCATTCTGCCTTCCAAACTCTTCACAATGGTGTGGGCAAGCCAGCTAAGGAGAAGTTAAAGCTGGGATGCTCATTTTTCTACATGGTAGTTTCTTCATCATAAAGAAAAACAAGATTTCTTTAGTTGAAACTTAAAAAAACAAATACACGTGATACTTTTTGAGTGACAGAAAGAGAAGGGAAAGTGTTGCTGCAATGCTTTGCTTTACTGCATGGTGACAGAAGACCTTTCCTTCAACAGCACTGTTCAACCTCATCCCAGTGGGACTGCGTGTCGTTGCCATCCAGGGAGTGAAGACAGGGTTGTACATAGCCATGAATGGAGAAGGTTACCTCTACCCATCAGTAAGTGACATGCCAATGACGTTGGCTCTCGGTGTGTTGCTGGAAAAATAAGAAAAACAGCAAAAGAAGTTAAAGACGTGTGGGCATAAACTCTGCCGCTTTGACTTTGGGGTTTGGTACTTATAGGGCGGTTGCAGGAGTTGGTTTGGTGACAAGAGCACATCTGGAGAAATAGTAATCTTACGTCTTGAAATGTGTTTGCTGCATTTTAAAAGATGATCTAGTTCATAGACTCAATAAGATGCTCTTAGTATGATCATTTTATTTCTGATTATAAATGCACTTGTTTTTGGAGACTTTCAAATGAAGTGCCATTGGTACACATATTTTCTTGCTAATTTATTTTTACTCAGTTTAATAACGGGATGTTTATCTGGGTCAATATGCTGTGTCAATCTTTCTCTACCTGGAGATTTAGTCAAGGTTATTAATAGACCTGCCACCTTACCAGCATAGTTTTTATTAAAGTGGTGCTTAAATGTGCTTTCAATTTTAAAATATACAAAATATTTACTGTTTTCCTCATACATGTGGTGACCACTAGGATTTATTTCTACATGATCAGTGTCTCCTCTTTCCCCATCACTCTCTTGGAATCCAAAAGCTTGTATTTCTAAAAAGGAAACAATATGAGATTTGAAGACAAAGGAACACAGTCACCTCTCAGTCTCTGTAGGCAGTGCTTCCATGATCTGTGGGTACTACAATCTGGGGACACAGTCATCTTTATGAAATTTGTGTGTTGACTCCATTTCCTCATGTCTACCATACTAACATTTTTGAAGATAACCATATAATGTGAATAATAGGGAATAGTTGTTTATGTATTTCTTAGGGTGTAATCATATGAAAAAGATCTATATATGTTCAGCACAGACACAAGATTTTATATAATGCTATGATTGGCTAGTTTGAAGGTATATATACTAAACCAATGGATATAGAGGGACAATTATATTTGTTTTAATAGGAAATCCTATAATGAAAATACTTTAGAGAAGAATATTTATAATAATGAAGTAGATATCTCACACAAATCTAAGCATTAATTTCTGGATTTTTTTTATATTTATCAGAAACCAAACAGTTTTTCTTTCAGATAGCCTCCACTGGATTTTTTTTCATTAACTTATTTTCCACCAGGTATGCTTTGCTCATGAGCTTACAACTATAATAAGTTAGAATCTTGTTCCATTGCTCGCCAAAGAAATACATATTTTATCATGAGTGCTTTTTTTCCCCATGATTCCTTTAGCATAAATCAATGGATTGAAATGTCTTAAAATATATTTTCCACTGAGTTTTCTGTCCATTTTCACATAAATTCTTAGAACATTTGTTGTTATTAATATAATCAGTAAACAACTGTAATATTTATTTATAATAATAATATAATATATTTATGTATCAATAACATATAACTTTATGCACATATATTATGTAATAAACATTCTCTCCAGCCTTCCACAACAGGTAATCTACTTTTCCAGCACTTTGGAAACTCTGTCAAAAGGAACTGCAATGTAGCTTCAGAGTCCCTGTTATCTAATATCACCCAAGGGTTTTCCAAAGCTCAGAACTGGGTATTACATTATGCAAATTGTGTACTGCTGCAGGAGATGAATATGCAGCATGCTGTGAGCAAGATCAAGACAGAATTTTCTATGACTTATCTAGGAAAACATATACAAAAAGAGATCATTTCTAGAGATGACTCATTTCAGATACAACTCAATTTTACTGATTTGACATTTGTTCAGTTACTTTTGTTTATTTTTACCTAAGTAATGTCTCTCAATGATCTGAATATCACTATATTTACTGCAAACCACAGCATCTAATTCTTCCTTTCTGTTGCAAATTTTACTGCCTGATTGTTCTCTTATGCATATGCTATTATCAGAGCATGTATGTTTGTTTTATTCTTTTGCTACTATGCGTGGTGCTTTTAATTATTGCTCATTTTTAGTCAGGTTATAATTGTAATATATTCTTCTCTAAAGATAGATTATATATCTTGAATATGAGTTTTTGCCTAGAACAAATTCTAGTATGTTTAGAGCAATGTACCAGTACCGTAACATTGAAAATAAGACAGCTACTCCAAGTCCATCTTAAATATGATTTCCTTGGTCATAATTCAAAACTTATGAATTTGCTGTTGGGAGCAGTATTTGTACACCTAAGTATTCAAAGATCTTGATGCATTGTCTTCTTCTGGTTTTATGGGTGGTTAGCTTCTGAATATCCACTATGATGGCTTGAGTCTCTGACTTACAGATTTTGTTTTCTTTCCCCATCTTTGGTACCAGGAACTTATCCTATTTCCTTGCCAAAGCTATCTCTCTACCCCAGGTTAGTCAGCGGTGGGACCTGTTATTATTCCTGTCCTCTGGGAAAAGACTTTGAGAAAAACACCGTGCAATTTCAAGTCTTTTCTCCCACTCCATAGTTAAAATACTCCATTGATTTAAACTAAATACATTTTGAACTTTAAATATTTTAGTGGAGACAATGTTATTTCATAATTACTAATTGCATAATAAGTCACCAAGCACCTACTAAGATAATAATATAGAACATGTTGTATAAATTATTCTGCTTTATAATAAAAATTAAATTATAATAACTATAGTAGTATTTATACACTGTGCAGTATTCCAGTCATGAATTAATTTACCTGATCCTCTTACCAACCTTTAATATAATAAGCATAATTAATATAATATGATTTAATTTAAATAAAATAGACACTGATATTCAGACTGCAAAAAAGTTTACCATATCCTTGAAGTAGACAAAAGCAACAGAATCTGTTCATAATCTGATTCACTACTTTACACTTTCAGATAGTTTACTATCCTGTCTCCATTTGAGATAGTTTTCATTATATGGCCTGGCATCTGTTATAACAAGAACCTAAAGATGCATAATGATGTAACTAAAAGCCTTTGGAAGAATAAACTTCATCTTAGAATGCTCAGTAAGAAACAATTTGAGGGACAGGCAAGTTGGCTCAAAGGCTAAAAGCAGTAACTGCTCTTCCAGAAGACCTGAGCTCGGTTAATATAACACACTTGATTTGGCTCACAATCACCTATAATTCAGGCTCCCAGAGATCTATCTGACTTCCTCTTTTGGTTTCTGAGGATGCACACACACACACACACACACACACGACTAAATCTTATAAAAAGGAAATTTAAGTTAGTACATTTTTGTGTATTATATGAAACCTATTTTTATCACAGATCTGTTCTGGGGGTTGTAGGCAATAAATATGCTATTCCAAGTACATTATGTTCCTTGACCTTACACCAGTTGTGAACTCAAGGCACACATTTCTCTGTTTCAGGAAAACTCTTGCAATCCCTTGTTATCTAAATAAAGATATTTAGTGTGTCCAATAATGATCGTTCTACCTTGTGTGAACAAAAATGCTGTCTTGACTAAAATATAAATGATCATATTCCCAGCACTGGAAGAAGTTATCGCCTATGGAAACTTGTCTTTCATATAACAACAGCTATTGCGCTAATAATGATGATAGTATGTCACTTGATATATGTGTTAAGGGGTTTAATGTTATATGGATGATTTGCTTGGAGATAGAACACAAATTCTCAAGTCAGAGAACAAAAGAACAAAAATAAGCAAATATTCTGTACAAGAATTAAACAGGTTAAAATACTGCTTAACAAAAATGTTGTTTAAGCTAGTTAAAGTAACCACCTCTTGTGCTGAGGGAAGCAGTCGGGTGTTTTGTTTTGTTTTATTCATTTTACCAAACAGCTTACTTCTTGTTGAATAATACTAAGCAATCCCCATGGGGTTGGAGAGATGGCTCAGCAGATAAAAGCACTTACTGCTTTTGAAGAGGATCTGGGTTTTATTCCGAGGATCCACATGGAGCTGTGACCCCAGTTTTAGGATTTCTGGTGCCCTTTTCTAGGCCCTGTGGGCACTGCATACTTGTCCTTAAATTGTATGTCTACACCATCCTACTCACTATCCAACGTCAGGGAAGAGGTGGAAGCAGGATTAAGAATGTAAGAGTGGGAGGATGGAAGAAGTGTGATCTACAGCCCATCAAGATTTCATTATGGATAGTGCAGGGACTTCTGGGGCCCCATCCCTCACTAGGAACTGTTGGTGATTGGTCACTGATGGAAGAGAGAGAATCATTTTACTCAGTAGTGTATATACAGTGTATATACAGCCTCACAAAGCAGCCCTGATGAAAATCCATGAATTTATACACAAAAATATAAGAAACAAGTAGTGGAAGACAACTTGGAAAGAAGTGAGTCATCCAGAGTTGAGAGTGTGCAAAAGATGGCAATGTGGTTGAATATAATTATATTATATACATTGATGAAATTCTCAAATAATAAATTTCTTGATAGAAGCGTGTGAAGACAGAACTGTTCTGTGATGGATGGTGTTTCTTTTCCTTTTATTTATGCTCAGTGTGACAAAGATTTAGAAATGAAATCATTAAGTAAAGGAAGAAAGGAGATAGAACCTTAGTAAACCATCTTACTTAGTAAGAAGACTTTCTGGCATATTTTACTTAATTCACAGAATTCATTTTAGATAAAGCAAAAGAGCCAGCGGATTTAAATTCATAACTTGAGCTTTCATAGAAACAATTCTGATGTGCATGAAGAAAATCTCAGTTATTCACATAGTGTTTCACAAATTTCAAACACAGTAAGACTTATGTAGAATGATTCATATAAATCCAGACTTCAAAATATTGACCCAACAGATTATGATACTCCAGTTCAGTAAGTTCTCATGCTTTAAGAATCACAAGTCTGAATGTGTATTGTGAGCCTATCTAGAACTGGTGCCTGGAGAACACATTGACAATCACAGTTCCCCATCACGTCTAACCTACCGTGACTCTAACGTTCCACGTTTTGTTATTTGCCATTGAAGGTGATGAAAATGGACAAATGACTGTGAACTGTAGATTTATGCCTCGGTCTAAGTCC